GGGGCATAGAGGACCTACAATAATGTACAGTATTTGAAAAATAATGTGTTTTTTGAACATTAAAGCATGTCAACATATTCTGTTACACCAAATACACAAAATAATGATCTTTCAAAAAGCATCATATGACCCCTTTAAAATATGCTTCATTTGAAAAGCAAATTTTGTTTGAGAACTGACCAGCAGAGGGCAGCACAGATTAACAAACTGCTTTAAAGAGCTGAAGACACATTTTGCACAGAGCGTTTGACAAAACAAGTGCATTTTCATCGGAAAATCATTTTCATCATCTTTTTTTTTTTTTTTTTTAACATACAAATTAGTAAATTCCAAAACACTATATTGTTTGAAAATATTTCAAGTGTAATTTCAATGTGTAAATAGTAAAGGCTTAGTATGTGATATCATCATAGGAAAATTAATATATACAAACAATAATAATAGGAAAAATTATGCATAATAAACAACAACATCAGCAACATAATAATAATAATTATTCAGCCTTAAACAGGACAATACATAAAAAGTCAATATATTATTTACGTTGACCTGTTTTGTATAGAAATTTTTAAATATTTTTTGTAGTAATTTGAGTAATATCAGTAATAAAAACAGCAGTGATTAATAGCAGAAATGGCAGTGCAGAACAGAACATTGTAATTGCTTATACATTTTGTTTGTTTTATAACCAAACTTATTTACTGATTTCCAAATCAGATGCCAACATTTAATAGTTTACCCAATTCAAAACACAGTTTATCCCTATACACTAATTGATAACATACGATATTTCATAAATGTTTGTATTATTAAGCACAAAAAAGTTTTTTTTAAATATATTTTGATGTGACATAAAAAAAATAGAATATTATTATTGTTATCATGTTCTGATTATTATTGTACGTATTAGAAAGAATTAAAGGCAGACCACGGTTCATGCATGGCCACTGAAAGCCTGTCTGTTTGTTTGTATTAAACCGTAAAGCCCTCTGTCTAATATCGCTCTGAAAATGCACAGGATGTATTTGTTGATATTGTCTCGGGTTGTGCATAGTTCTTTGTTAGCTTTTTGAAAAATTGTTTATCTGATGATATGTCTTTGCCAAGATACATGCAGTGGCTTCTTTTATTTGCTTAGCCGTGTGGGCTCTGACTCTGGACCGCCGCCATTCTGTTGAAGGAAGGAATATTTAATGTTCAAGCTGGGATTGTGGGTGCAGGAGTGGGGTTTGGAGACACTGAGCACTTCAAACGGACTGATAAGTGATCCGATAAGTTGCGTACGGAAGCGCAGCAGTCGAGCTGTGGAAACAAGGAAACAAGGCCAATTCCCAGGAAATGAAAAATAACATAAACTCTTTATCCCTCTGTCTCTGTGGCCTACACGGAGTTAAAAGAAATGACCTCTGTGTCAGTCGCAGTGAATCTGTTCTATTTAAGGGCTATAATATTTTGGTACATTACATTAATTTACAATTTTAACATTAGGATTTTATTTAACTTTATTTTACTGCATTGCTGGTCTTTATTTACCCCATTTATAATACTACAAAGCTACATATATTCACCAACAAACTGTTTCAATAATTTAATTTACATCAGAGATCACCTGCGTAGTCCACCTGTCTGTGTTGTCATGTGACACCTCTGTCCGCCTGACCTCTCTCTCGTTGATTGGCAGTGGTTGGTCTCAAAAGTGCCTGCTTGCTGTGAACCCTGGGAAAATGCGCTTTGACTTGTCTTTCGTGTTCCTGGACATGATTAGAGACTTCAGCAGGGGAGAGGGGGTGCTGACTCTGCCTGAGGGCATGAATGTATATGTATTTGTGTTTCTTTTCCCATGTGTTAGTCCTGTGGCGCTCCAGTTTAACTCGGATATGTCAGTGACATTGGGAGGCTCTAAAATTCTACTTGTTTGGACAGTTTGAAATTAAGCTAAAGTATGTTAGCTGTAAGATGCACATTTTGTGTTTTAGGCAGATAAGTTTCAACCAATAAAAAAACAACAAAAAAACATTTTTTATTTAGACATTACAGCGAGTGAATAATACTTGGTGTAATAATTTTCTAAATTTCTGGTGTAATATCAGAAATTTTCTAGTAAAATTAATTACTAATTGCATGGAAAATGCAAATTTCAAGACTGAAAATTTATTGTAAGTCATACTCTAATATACTTTGAAAAAAATGTTTTTAACAGCATATAAGTTACAGAAATTGAATTGAATAAAGGTTCTGCTTGCAGTTCGCAACATTTGGAGCCCATGTTTTTTTCCCTATGGCCTGTAAATACATATTAGCTCAAATAAACAAACTCATGCACTGTTCAGTGGAGCATGTCATTTGGTTGAGTTTTATACACAAAATCTAAATTTTCACTCAGTTGTTAGTCCATTTCTTGTTTACATCTTCAGGAGTGTGAATGACAGTTTACATTAAAACTTTGTGATAGACATATTACCTCAGGATATCAAATTCAGATCAAAGACCTACATTATATTACTATATTTAACATTTGTTCATTTTGTAGCAAAGGTCTACAAGGGTACATGTTGAAGTTATTAAAATATTGTCAGTTTGTACACCACATTATAAAAAGGACTCCCCCCATTTAAAAAAAAAAAAAGTTTCATTTATACGTTTTCACCCCTAAACGGGCTTGTAGAATCCTACAGTGAAACAGCTTGAGTGACATAATTCATACTAAAGCTGGGAAATTATTATTATTATTATTATTTTTTAGAATAAGCATACAGTGGATCTTAAATATTCTTTATTTATTTTATTTTTTCCCATTTGTTTTGCTTGTCATGATAAATATGATTGTTTATCCAGTTCTGCCCCATTAGAACTGGTTTGTTAATGCCTCACCTTTAGTTCTGACCCACAGGGCTTGCTATCGAGGGCCACTGCTGAGCCACATCTGGGCAGACCGCTGATGTGAAATTAAGTGTTGTTGGGATTTCTGACTATTGAGTATTAAAGTGGTTTAAGATCTATGAAATCTCTTTTAGTAAGCTCTCAGCTTTCTGTCTCTTGTACGTTTAGTTCTCCCTTGTGCTTTCACTGTCTCTCTCACCCTCGTTCTTTCAGTCATTCTTTCAGTCTTGCTATGTTATGCAGAAATGTGTATTTTAAAGGCTGCTTGGATTTCAGAGCTCTATTAAAAGTTCAAAGCTGCAGTTTACTGCTGTAACAAGAGCTACTCCTGATCCAAACACTCGGCTAATGAGAGAGAGCCAGCTGCACCCCCACCTACCACCCTGTGGCCTGTGGCACCCATATATGAATGTGTTTTGATGCATTATTGTGCGGATAAAGGAACCATTTTATAGATCGGAATAATTTTTTCTTTCACTTGATGATCCGTCAGTCTTTAAATAGTTCTTTCACCATGTTCGCCATCTGACTCTGTCTCTCTTCTGTTCTTCTGATAGACTGAAGTTGTAAGTCTTTTTGATAATGGAAAATCTTTGCAGGATTTCTCCCTCTTTGCCCTAGTCCCCACTAATCTGAAGCTGTTTTTTATTGTCATTCAGGCCCTTGATACATTTTAACCACAGAAAGAATCCTGTGTGTGTTGTGGTGGGAGTTTCTTTAATAGTTTAACAGTATACTATTATTCCAGGACCCATCTATAACAAGATTGAATTATGTTCTTCTGAACTCCAGAATGATACAAACAAAGAAATAAACACTTTTAAAGGGTCCTTGTAATTATTTGTCAATGGTCTTGGAGGATGATAAGATGAGAAGCGTATGATCTGGCTGGCCACAATTCTATTGGGAAAAATTGAGCGTGACCCACTGAGTGAGGAATGGAATTAAAGAGGCCGTTTTGAGATTCTCTGGCCCTGTAACCCCATAAGACTGGTTCACCGCTCTAAGCTTTTTTTTTTATGTGATTATTAAATATAAAAAAATGTTAGAGAGGAAAATTCACATATGAGGTCATCTG